GGCACCGATGTTCTAACAAAGCACTCTTTCCGAACTAACCTAACACGTGATCCGACGACGTAATCTCGTCTATTTTAGCTGAGTCCACGCTACACCAAACCCATAAGTCACCAAGGAGACGTTTTGCCTTAAACCGACTGAATAACAAAACTCTCGTCACTCATAATGACAAACTAGATGCGAACCTCGGAATCATCTCTCACTTCAAACCTCCGAAGTACTCATGCGAAGAGTACAGTATCCTCCTGTAACCTTCCTTAAGTATTCCCAGCAGACCATTTTGGAAATACCACTCGCGCAGCAAGTCAAGTTCAAGCACAAAGGCTAATGACAGATACGGTTAGCCTATCAATGTTAAATGTACACGCGGGGGTGGTATATAATTAGGATTCTACGGACTTAGGACGTGTGTTTCCGCCCTATCTCCTGTTCCTTGTCTGGTTGTGGACCTGGGGCAGAGTCACCCATCCGACCGTCTTATCAATCTTAATTATATACGACTTGTGTACACGAGACGATGATAGATGAACCAGGTATGAGTCCTACCATGAACTTCAGGACAAAGGCTGCTCAGAACTACGAAAGGACATCCTACCAGTTAGATGAACGTGGTCAGACAAGTCGAACCTACACACCATTCACAGACCAGAACAGCAAATACAACAGTGATGATCCGCTGAAACACCCAACGAGGATCTGAATTCACTGGAGAACGCGGGGGTTTTATGAAACCCAAGTACCCCACCGATCCTAAAGAAGTGTCTGTCCGATGAGACACTTGTGATACCTCTCGATGAGATCGAACTAGGCGAGAGTTTACACTTCGTGGAAGAACCAGTCGAAATCATGGATCGGGAAGTCAAGAGGACAAAACAAAGTCGCATACCGATAGTGAAGGTCCGCTGAAATGCCAAGCGAGGACCTAAAGTCACTTGGGAACGCAAAGATCAGGTGAAGCAGAAACATCATCATCTTTTTCCGAGTCCATGATTTGTATTCTCTGCTTGAATTTCGGGACGAAATTCCCTCTAACGGGGGGATGATGTGACAACCCGAAAATCTCTGTCTCTAAAGTTACATCGATCATAGAAAGTCAGACCCATTTCTATTATCTTTTAGCGTTGTTTAGGGTCTGTTTGAGTGTTCTAAGCGTAGTACATTCAAGGTTTGGGTCTGGGGATGAGTTCTTTTAAGTTCTTCGAGTTGCATTCAAGCCAAACACTCCTTCAAGAGGAGTGTACGGCCGCACACATGGGTGTACGGCCGTACACTCAAGGTAGCCGTGAAATCACCCCATATGTATCATATTCATTCACTTTCACCTCAAGAGCTTCAAACCTTAGTGTTTACTCGGGGCTGGAGAGATTGACTCGTTCCGGAAACCATTCCCAAGATGTGTATGGCCGTACACAGGGTCTACGGCCGTACACCACCCTCTCTCTCTCTCTCTCTCTATATATATATATATATATATATATATATATATATATATATATATATGTAGTGCTCATTTTCTCCTCATTTTTCCCTCCTCCCAACCCGAGATCACTCCCATTCTCTCTCAACTATCATCGGCCGTGAACACCCAAAGGCTCCAAAAACGTAAGTATTTCAACCTTAAACTTGTTATACATGAAAGACCACTAGATCCAAGCCCCGATTATTCATATGCAGTCATCTTGAAGGGTGTACGACCGTAAACCCTTCATAGGTTGGCCGTACACACCCAAAAAGGGTCCAAATCGAGTGTTTTGCCCACCTTCTTGTTGAACATTAGACCCACTAGTTTTCCTATGGATCAAATCACCCATTTTGCATGTTCCTTCCATGGGTGTATGACCATACACTCATTGGCCGTACACTCATGGGCCGTACACACACATTAGCCGTGAATCCTTGGCCGTACACTCTCTTGTATGACCGTAAACCCCTTTTAGTCAATCACATGTGATTATAACACTTCCTAGCAAGTGTTTCCTAGTCCCTAAGGGTGTTTCCTTGCATGTTAGTTGTCTAAAACACCAATGACATGCACATATATGCCATTATATGTCATTTAGGACTTGTTTGTGTCTCGGGAATTCATTCGTGGAACTTTTCATCCCTACGCGAACCTTCATTCGAATCGCTTACTACAAGTGAGTTCATACCCCTATATTTTTTTCAAGTTTTCAATGTATTCAGGGGGAGGATACAAGTAAAAGCACAAGTAATATTGTGTTTAAAAATATAATTTGGTTTATTATATTTTCCTATCATTAGTATACATTGAACATAGAACTTACTAAACATGATGAACATAGTTACTACTAGATTTGCAGACAGTTTTATAAACATGTTAAGATACAAATGTTGCAAATACAGTTTTCAGAACAAAGGAAACAAACTTATGAATTATGAAATAAAATATATTATTTTATAAGGATTCATGTTAATAACAAAAAAAGTTTTCATAGTATTATTCGTAAATTCGTTGAGAGAACTACAGTGTGAGACGCCTTGTAACCAGAGTCTCCTGGAGGGAGAGCGTGAGTTTGTCTATAGATCTATACGGGAGTGACAATCCCGCACCCTGACTATTAGCTACAGTCAACCTAGGGTGACAAACGTCATTTTGCACGACGTCCGAGTACGTCGTAATGTTGATCGTCCATAGTATGGTTATAAGAATCCACAGCTGAAACAACGACTCGTTCACGTAATAATATACCTAACAATCAGTCAACGGGGTTAGTAACTATGTGATGACTTAGTATGTACATTAGGGTAATATGAAATTAACATCCGACTTGCAGTGGGATGTGTGATCTCCGCCTCATTTCCTGTTCCTTGTTTGGTTGTGGGCTTAGGGCAGAATCACCCAATCGACTGTCTGTTCGATCTAGATTTCTATAACTCGTACGTACTAGGTGATCACAGTAGGGTATTAACAACACTTTCAGTATACAGAACAACACGTTTTCAACTAGTTTTATTTATGTAATAAGACTACTATACATTACTGGTGGTAGCCAGGGTTTTCGTACAAAGGTTTTCATACAAAGGTTTTCAAACAGAACAATGCTTAAACAACATAAGTATGGTAGATACTTGTACTTTACGATTTTGGAACAGATAATTCAACAACTTACACTTAGGGAAAATATAGGATTTTCCAGGATAAACATCAGTACTTTACAAATAGATGGTTCATTATTCAACTAACAAATATTCATTATTAATTCCATGACTCCTTAGTTTATGCATCTGAGTTACGTATGAGGAATATCTGATAGACCGTGGAATGTGTGGTTTCCGCCTCATTCCCTGTTCCTTGTTTGGTTGTGGGTTTAGGGCAGATCCACACAATTAACTGTCTATCCGATATTGGTTTATACGTAACTAGTATGAACTAAGTAGTCATAGAAGGAATGGGTTAATCATGCTTTTCATAAGAAAAATATTGGATTTTCTGGAGAAACATAACGTACTTTTCGAAAGAACAAAGAACAGTTTTCCTAAAACACAAAACGCTTATGAACTCACCAGCTTTATGCTGATACTCTTTCAAAACCTACTTGTATTCTCAAGACATTAGTAGACAGGTACACGCACCAGATTCAAGAAGACGGAGCATAGTAGTTTTGAGTCTTTACTTGTATTTACTTTTGGAGTCAATCGTGTATGGTTCAAATGTAATGTAAACATTATACTATTAATACAATGGTTGTTGTTGCTTTGATTACTATTATTCAACTGTTGTGATACTACACATGACGTCCTCTGCCCCCGAACGTTTCCGCCGTTCCGGTTTGGGGGTGTGACAGGGCAAGATGAAAAACCGAGAGCGGAACAATCCCAAATAAGCAAACAGATAGGTCGACGACTTGGAAGCAAAAATGGAAGCTTCAATCGATTTAAGCAGCAAAATGATTTTGGAATTGAATATACAGAGGCGGTGAATGGAGTAAATATGGTCGACTCCAAATTTAGCCGTAGTTGAGATGTTTAGTCGGCTTAAGAAAGTTACTGATCATAAGCCTCACAACTATTAATATCTGTTATATATTATCTATTATTTGTTATCTATCTATTATCTATTATCTATTCTATACTATAATAGAAGTCATTTTCCTATCACCACATTCATTAGAAACCCAACTTTTCAACTTCTTTTCTAATTAAAACATTAAATTCATTATTATTCTAACTTTAATATTAATTCTTTATTTTTCAAACCCTCTTTTTTTCTAAATAATCAAAAAATTTAAATATAAGACCAAAATCAAAAATGCAAAATTAACATAAAATAGATCGAAAAGTACTTTTTATAATAATATTTTTTTCAAAAAAGATAAATTTAAAATTATTTAAAATATTTAAAGTTTTAATATAGTGTTAAATATATAATTTATATCAAGAAGTTTTGAAGTTATAACACATTAGTTAATAACAATATATTTGATCAAATAAAAAGTAGATCGATCTCGATTATTACGATTTCTAAACATTTATTTGTTACTCTATAAACCTGGTTTCATCTTCAATTATTTTGTTATTAGTTTTTAGGAAAAATGACTTACGAGCCCAACAAAGTTTCTAAACTGTTCAAAAAAACCCCAATCATGTTTTGTTTGTTCAAGAAAACCCAACGAACTTAACATTTTGTCTAAAAAAGCCCAACTAAGTTACACTTTTGTTCAATTCTATGGAAGTCAAAGAAAATAAATAAATGACGTGACTTATTACCATATCGGGAAAATGACTTGTCAGACCAACGAAGTTTCCAAACTGTTCAAAAAACACCAATTATGTTTTGTCTATTCAAAAAAACCCAACGAACTTAATCTTTTGAATAAACACAAAAAAAATGATTTTGATTTTTTAAACGGTTTGGAAACTTTATTGGGCTTTTTTTAGACAAAAGGTTAAGTTCGTTGAGTTTTCTTAACGGACAAAATACAATTTAAGTTTTTTGAACGGCCTAGAAGTTGTAAGTCATTTTTCCGATGTTTATTATTATTTTTTTCTCCTTACTTCCACTTCCACAAGGAAATACCTTTCGTCTCTACGTCCGCTTTTTCTTCCTTCTTTCGTCATTGCCTTTTTTACAAATTTAAGCTTACAAGTAACCTACCGATCACTAGTTTCTGTAGGGTATTTGTTTCATTTTATATACTGCTTCAGATTAACTTTCAGAGATTGCGTTAGTGTTAATTGGGAATCTTTATCGGTAAGTAACCATCAACATTCTCCGGTTTGATTCTGTTTCAACTATAATTCTGATAATTTTCCTTCGATCGTTTTTTCCATTGTAAAGTTTGAAAATGATTCGGGACGAGATTTTTGATTAATCGACCGACAACTCAACAGAGCAACCCAATCATTCACTTTCCTCGGTTAATCAGCTTTAACCCTCTCACGTCCTGGTTTTGGGTTCATCAAGTTAGGGTAGGTGTCAATTCTTGTTAATTTGCCCTTTCTTATGGATATTCTTGTTAAGAATTTTTTCCATAGCTACTAGAGGTTTGATGATGATCGGATGTTGTCACCTCAAATATAAAACTCCCCTTGACGATCTGTGTGTAATAGTTTTATTGATTCTTGCTATTCTAATTAAGAATTCTTGTGAATGCGCCCTTACCTGGAACTTCCATAATCTGTAACTAGATAATGTTCATGTTGCAGTATGTTAATTTGTGAAGAGCTACTTTGTGATACCAATTTGTTCATGTACAAGAAGTGTTGGAGAATATGATGATGCATTAGTCTCATCAACTAATCAAGCTGTGTCTATGGCAAAGAGTGAAGGTGCTGTTTTGTGCTATAGTAATATTTTATATTTTACTGAACACATTTTTGTTGGTTGAATACATTTTTTCTTAAATGGAAGAACAGAACATTTTTCCTTTAAGATTTTCTACTTGTTTTAATTTTTTCTTTTTAAGTCCTGGATTTGACAATTATATAATTATATATATCTCAGGTGCTCATCATGTTGATGCTCCCCCAAACTACAGGTATTCAATAACCGACCCTAAACCTAATTTTACCTCATTTATCTTATGAACCAAGAATCAAGTATGATGAAACATGTGGCTATTGGTATGTCCTTATATATAATTCTTTGGGCTAAATGCAAGAAATAGCAATGTACTTTTGGAAAATTTCTTATAATAGCATTTCTTACTTTCATTTGTTCTTATTACTACAATTCACTTTTGTAACTGTCTCCCTTAGGTCACTTGAGAAAGAAGGAAGGAATAACCTTGTGGAAATCAATAACATCAAAGGAGATTTAGAACATGAAAAAACTTCTGGTATACAAAGAGGAGGGTTTTTTTTTGGTGATTTAATTCTTAGTACATTTCAATAACATAATTTAAAGATATTACAGTTAGTCTTGCACTATTTGAAGTCTGTTTGTTGTGTGAAAACAGAGGTCAATGAAACAGAGGCATGGTATCCTTGTATCAATGATTCTGATATTTGGCTTCCCCCTGAACCAGATGACCAAGAGGTTGATGTTGAGGGTAGTTATGGTAAATATGACGATGATAATGATGATGATGAAGAGTTTGGTGATGACATAAAAATGGGGAAAAACAAGTAATCTAACTAGCTTTGGTCAAGAAGGGAACATGAGTGGGAGCTTTAGTTTTAAAGAGGAAAAAAGAAAAGTAATGGATAAGGTTATGAGTGGAAAATTCAAGACTCTTGTGAAACATATTCTTAAATCAATGAATATTTCTTGCTTAAAAGACAATGGTGGTGATAATTGGGTTGATATCGTTACATCTTTATCATGGGAAGCTGCTTCTTTTTTGAAAGGGGAAGCCATGGATCCTGATGGTTATGTGAAAGTCAAATGTATTGCTACTGGCTCTCGAAGTCAAAGGTTGACTTCTGTCACTGTATTAATTCATTCCCTTTAACTTTTTATGTTTCTTGATGCTAATAATTTTGTTTTTGTAGTGAAGTATTCAATGGTTTGGTGTTCAAAAAGCATGCTGCTCACAAACACATGCCAACAAGATTCAAAAGACCAAAACTACTACTGATCAAGGGTACACTAAGTGATTCTGATGGATTTTCATCATTTGAGTCGATGAACCACGAAAAGAACAGACTTGATTCTGTTATTTGGATGATAGAGAAGTGCAATCCAAATGTTATTTTAGTGGAAAAAACCGTTTCACGTGATATTCAAGAGTATATTCTTTCAAAAGGGATGACACTAGTTTTGGAAATGAAAATGAACCGGTTAGAGAGAATTGCTCGTTGTATAGGTTCATCAATCTTGTCATATGATCAATTGAGTGATAAAAAATTGAGACAATGTGATTCCTTTTATTTTGAAAAAATTATTGAAGAACATGGTGCTCTTTGTGAAAGTGGAAAGAAGCCAAGCATGACTTTAATGTTTCTTGAGGGATTGCCTAAACGTATGGGCTGCACGGTAATTTTCATTAGCTTCTTTATATTATATTGATATATTCTCATAGTAATGATCTTAAAAATAGAGTTCACTACAAAAATGGTCATTGTGTGTTTTTATTTTTCCGGTGCTTGGTCCAAAATTGAAACCTTTTTTCAGTTTTGGTTCTTATTTCAAAGCTTTATGTTAATTTTGGCCACTGGAACCTCGAAATAAGGACCAAAACCAATGTGAAACCTTGAAATATCGACTAAAATTGAAAAATGTTTTCATTTTGGTCTGAACACGGTAAAAATCAGAGACCATATTTGTAGTTTAAAATTTTAAAAGGAGTAAATTACATTTTTGGTCCCTGAGTATAACTGATTCTGCAATTTCGGTCCCCAAATGTTTTCTCTTGCAATTTTGGTCATGATTTTGAGGTTCTTGTAATGTTTTTTGGTCCATTTTCCAGTTTGTCCCTGAGTATAGCTGATTTTTGCAATTTTGGTCCCACAAATAGTCATTTTACTAGGAACAGGGACCAAAAAGGTTACAAAAAGCTCAAATAAGGACCAAAATTGAAACAATCAGATATACTCAGGGACCAAAAATGGTAATTTTCTCAATTAAAAGTTTTTAGATTTTTCTGATGCTTTGGGGATTGACGTGCAGATTTTGCTGAAGGGATCTCACAGTGATGAACTTAAAAAAATCAAAACTGTTGTTCAGTTTGCAGTTGGTCTGGCATACCATTTGATCCTTGAGAATTCGTTTCTTCTAAATCAGAGAATAATGTTTTCCACCATTTCCCCGGATATATTTGCTACCAAAATCCCCACCGAAGAGATCATTCCATCAATCAGCAATCATGCTCTTGATTTAGCATTTGATGATTCAAATATTCCAGTTTCCAAGGAGGATTCTAATGAAGAAATTGAGATTATCCCTATCTTTAAGGAACCATACAACCCGGTTTTCCTCTCAGGGTTATCATCTCTCACAGCTTCATTAAAGAAAGTAATTGCAATTCGTTTATTACATACTGCTCGTAGTTTATCCGCATACTTTGGATTTAATTGTATGAGCCCTCATCATCAAGAATTACGCTCTTCTGAGGCTGTTGAGACTACTGCCAATATGGGCGAAAAGGTCATTTCTGATGAAGAGAAGACAGTTAATGGTGATGGAGTGAGTAATGATGATTCTTTGGAGACAAACAGTATAGAAGAAGAGATGGAAAGTAAGGATGATATGAACACAGTGTTGGAATCTGAAAGTATTTTGGTTTTGATGTCAAAGAGAAATGCGACAAAAGGGATCATTTGTGAACAGGATCGTTTTTCTTGTATCAAATTCTACCGATATTTTGATGTCCCTGTTGGAAAATTTTTGCGGGATTACTTGCTCAATCAGGTTTCTTCTAAATTCTTTAGGCTGTGTTTGTTACATAGGATAGGACTGAACGAGCTTATTTTTTTCATCTTTATGCAACACTCTTTTCATCAGAAGGCTAAAACGGTCATTTACTCTCATTCAGACGGATCGGGTTCATTTTTTGTCCGTACATCACTTCTTTAAGACATACATCAATTTCTACTGACCAACAAAGGCTGTTTCTTTTTTTGATTGAATGAACTGAATAGTCAGCGAGAGAGTAATTCTGTTGAAAAGTGTGTTGCATGAACAAAGATTTTTTCTTTTTCTTGAGTGACATTAAATGACCATGTTACCCTTCTGTCTGTCTCAAATGCTGTCTTTCTAGTGTTGTATGAACAAAGACTATCTTTTTTTACTGAATAAAATGAGAGTATTTGACCGTTTTAGTCTTCTGTCTGAAAAAAGTGTTGTATGAGCAAAGGTTGTTTTTTTTTTTTCATTAAAGTAAGAGTAGATGACCGTTTTAGCCTTCTATCCGAAAGAAGTGTTGCACAACAAAGGCTATTACTTTTCTTTAATTAATGGAAGTTCTGTCTTGTCATGTCTAGAACTTGGTATTTGAGTGCTGTATTGTTGAACTTGAACTATTTTAAGCGTAATTTTTTTTTTTCATATTAACTTATACAGAAGCTCATGTGTACAACTTGTGGTGAAACACCAGAAGCTCATTCTTACTACTATGCACATCATGATATGCAACTCACAATTCAAATCAGACATCTTCCTGCAGACAAACGTTTAGATGGTGAAAACGAAGGGAAGCTTTGGATGTGGAGTTTCTGTGGGAAATGTAAACCCTCCAATGGAAGCTTAAAATGTACAAAAAGAGTGTTAGTTTCTACAGCTGCTCGCAGTTTGTCATTTGGCAAGTTTTTGGAGCTTGGCTTTTCAAACCACTCTTCATGTGATATAACATCTAGCTGTGGACATCTCTTTTACAAGGACTACATCCACTTCTTCGGGTATGCTCACCTATATGCTATACCAATTTTTGTAAATTGATAACTTTAATAGGTGTGTAAATTATTGTGTGATTTGCAGATTAGGTTCCATGGTTGCAATGTTTAGATACTCTTCGGTATCTACTTACTCTGTGGCTCTACCACATTGGAAGGTGGAGTTCAGTGATTCAGTTGGGGGAGAATTTCTGAAAAAAGAAGTTGAAGATGTAGGTATTTACGTAGTGACTTAGGAATTAAGATGATTGTGGCATTTGTATGTTGCTTACAGATTTGTGGTATTCAGGTGTATTGGGAAGGGCTTTCAGTGTTTGCTGAGGTTGAAAGCTCTTTGAAAAAGATGGAATTTGAGTTCGTGGGATCAATGTTGAAGCTTCAAGGATCATTGAAGAAGTTCTGTTATGTTGAAGAGATGCTGAACCAAGAACGTGATCGATTCCAGGTTAATCAAGTTACTTATTGATCAAATCAAATCAAATTAAATATGCTAATATGCAAATTCAGTTTTAACTGAAATTGACAAATTGTAGGTTGAGATGAAGAACACAGCTAACGATGGTGGTTTTAGGAATAACTGGGTGTACAAGCCTCTGTGCTTAAATCATCTACAATGGGAACTTCTTCTTGAATCATGTATCTGGGACCACCGTCTTCATTCACTATTATCATCTGATCTTAAAGTAGTTGACACCAAAACCATCGATAACAGCTTGCCATCGAAAGAGATCTCCATTCAAGGAGATTCAAAAATCAATACGAATGGTGAATTTTCTTCCTCGATGTCTGCAAAATTATCCGATCCAAACGGATGGATGTGGACCCCGTTCCAGAAAATCCAAAGCTATTACACGAACGATCTTCAAAGAGGTTACTTACCGGAATTCGAACCGATCAATAGGTACACCACCGGATCAAAAATATATAAAAAAATCACCGAAGAGGGATCGAAGCTTCATTTTCCGGTGGGTCCCGGGAACAATTACATGGTATCGGATTATGAAGAGGAGTTATCAAGTATAATCGCGTGTGCTTTGACTTTTCTGAAAGATCAAAATATCTCACCGGAAGGTCAGGGTGTCACCGATCGGAATATAGAATCACATTTTTTCAGCTTTGATGGACTCGAATTGTTGGATTCGGTGGATTCTTCAAGGCATCTTCATCCGGTGGTGTCGATGGGCCGGTTAACTAACAAGGTTAAATACTCGGTGGGTTGTTTATATGTGAATGAATTTATGGATCTTAGAAGTCGGTGTGGTTTATCGGAACTGGATTTTATTGCCGCCTTAAGTCGGTGTAAACATTGGGATGCGAAAGGTGGAAAAAGTAAATCTTTTTTTGCTAAAACTCTTGATGGCCGGTTTATTATAAAGGAGATTAAAAAGACAGAGTTTTATTCTTTCTTGGAATTTGCTTCCAATTATTTTGGGTACATGAAGGAGTGTTTTATGGTTGGGAATCAGACCTCTCTCGCAAAAATTCTGGGGATTTATCAGGTTTGTGGTTGATTGATTTTAGTTTATTATATTTGTAGTGTTCTACTTTTCTTATTAATATAAATTGCAGGTAAAGAAGAGAAAGAGTGGTGTGAAACATGATCTAATGGTGATGGAGAACATTACTTATTGTCGAAATATGATGAGACAATATGATTTGAAAGGAGCTCTGTATGCTCGTTTCAATTCTGCTGTTGGTGTCGTGGGAGATGTGCTTTTGGACCAAAATTTTGTGAATGATATGAATGTTTCTCCTTTATATGTTAACAGAAAAGCAAAAAGAAACTTGCAAAGGGCCGTGTGGAATGATACCGTGTTCCTCAATGTGAGTTTTACTTTTATCAATCTGAGTCTTATAGGTAAAAGTGAGTAATGATTTATATTTGTGAAATGCAGTCGATCAATGTGATGGATTATTCGTTGTTGGTTGGAGTGGATGTGGAAAAGAAGGAGCTTGTATGTGGCATCATAGATTATGTGAGACAGTATACATGGGACAAACAAGTGGAGAATTGGGTAAAGTCGTTTGTGGTTCCTAAAAACCAGATGCCAACAGTAATATCTCCAAAAGAGTATAAAAAGAGGTTTAGAAAGTTCATAGACACCCATTTTTTGAGTGTGCCTGATGATTGGTGCTCTCAACGCCCATCTAACCCTTGCACTCTCTGTGCCACAGACGCAACTTCTCCTCATGCTTGTTCACATTCAACACAACCCTGACCTTATGTTTGAAAGTCACCCAGCAGGCTATTGTGTTACCTGATTTAAACCTCCGTTCATCAATTTTTGGATTATATATAAGTATTGCGTTCCCTACCTATATTTTGCAATTTTGAGCAAATTTTTGGGGTTTAGTGATAATTTGACTGATGTAGTTAGCTTATTAGGTGCATTTGTTACATAGTTATTACTTCTATTTGGGTTTTATATGCTTTAAAGGTTTCTGTGATTGTTTGCAATGAATGAGAGAAATTTGTGGTTGACCATTTCCTACCTTGTTCACAGGCCTTTCATCTTGTTTCTCATGGTTATTTTGTTATTTTTTTTTTTTTTTTTGACAATTACAAATTTGACTATATCTCTATTGTTTGTCAGATGTATTTATTTTGTTGACGATGACAAATCGGGTTATTTCTCTATTGTTTGTAAGCCACTTAGCCGTGGTGTATCAATGATTTTAAACAAGATGATCCAATATTATTACGAACTTTTTTACATTTGCTGATTGCTTGAATTGATTTCGCCAACGTTGAAATCAATGATGGTGGAGGTTGCTAAGTAGGTTAATTGGGTGATACTTGTGAAATTAAATGTCATAAAGAAAAACTATACATGAGTGAAAAGTTATGCAAAATGACTTACACTTGTATGATATGTCTCTGGATCTGGTAAGAAGTTGGATCTGACTCGGTCATATTCAGACTGTTTGATACCACAATTATAAGCATCTGATTCAGTCTTCTAACATTTGATATGCTTTTTGTTGGGTTTGATAAAATATTGGGTCTAACTCAATCAAATTTGAATCAATCAAACAATCAAACAACCATTTATATCAAGAGGAGAACTTTTGGTTCAATGTACCTTGAGAACAATGGGGAGGTCTGTAAGGATGTCCTTGAATGATTGGAATTCTAAACTTTCATTTGCGAAGTGAGCTTACGTATAAACAACCACCAAGTTATGCTACTATATGTATATACTCTTGAGGTAAAGTAAAATTGTTTGGGGTAAAACATTCCAAATGAGTTTTACACATGTTATACTCTCAAGTGCTTCAACGCTTTACTATCGTGTGAGGTTTATACTTGTTTTTTATTTTGTTTTTATTAATCAATTCTTCCAACAACAAAATTAACGACATTAATACAAAATGTTATTCTAAATAAAACCTTAACATAAATGATTTAAATTCAATAATATTATAATTTAACTATTGAAAATCATACAAAATTTGTTTGTTTTCTCTTCATAGATATATATTTGTAGCTATTCTAATGTTTTTCTTTCTCAATTTACTAACCGTTATTTGAATATAGTTATGATGTATTCCCTAGAATCACGCTTTTTTTGTGGTTACAAACTACATCCAAATGGAACTCCAAATTAAGATTTCTAGATAGAACCTTATACGTCATGTTTGGGCCAACATCTATATTTTATTTATTATTGAAAACTACCTTTGGTTAATAAGACAAAGGGAATTAAAAGCTTTCCTCGTGTGGCTAATTTCAAATTTCATGATTTAGAAAGGGATTTCACTTTCAGCCTATTATTCCTTGGGAAAAGACCAAAATACCATTTAAAAACCTAACTTCTCAAGATTATACTTTGTAATGAACTCTGAAATCAAATCAAATTAAAATTATATTTATTACTAAACGTTGTAAATAATTTTTATTTTTATCTTATTATTAAACTGTATGATTTTGGCTTCTTATTTTTATTATCAATCTTTGTAATATATGGTTTAGAAAATACTTTGTAATTTCCCAGTGATGTGTGGATAAATTAATGTTTACTAATAGTGCAACCAAGTCCATAGAGCGATATTGTATGAGGTCCTTCTGTGATGTGTGAGTGATGTGTGAAGATATATCTCTGATACCTGCAGTCACTAAATGAAAGATTGGGTAACTATAATCCATGATGGGCACGAGATTGCGTGCTAACGCCCAAATTAAATTATGAAGACTTGAGAGGATGTATCAACTAAAATCTTTCATGAAGATGATATTTATATAGTACTGTAGGGGCAAGAACTAGAATTATGTATTGGCCTTTGAAGTTTGTTGGTGTGGTGTGCTTTTAATAAGTTGTTTGATCTAAAATCTATACAAAAAGATGTTAGTTGCGTCACTGCTCAACGTTTATCTTCTTAATATGGCATGTAGTTATGGCGTCTACTAAATACCAAACTTCATACTAGTGCTACAATGTTCTCACTAATCTTTTCATTTCTTACACACTTTCATTTTATTAAAGGTGAAGATGAGATTTGAGTAGTGGTGACAATTATCGACCCAACCCGTAATCCGATACGAAAATAAACGAGTTTGGGTTGAGATTTCTGACCCGCCAACCCGCTTATTTCATGGGTCGGGTTGGGTTATGTGTTTGGGTTCGTAGGTCGACTCGCCAATATATTTTATATATATTTTTTTTTAAAAATTAATATTTATTTATGAATTATAACTTACGAGTGCGGCGTGCCCTACTCAATCAATCTTTGACTCCTTGTTACTCAAAAAGACAACATACTACGCCTCACCATTACATTGCTACCTCATCGTCGCTCATCCACCGGTATCACCTCTTGTCAGCGGTGCAAAGCTACAAACCACATGTACACTTGCGCTCCACCCAGCCCACCACCGCTCATTGCTCTATCCCTAAACCACTATCGTCGATGAAACCTACCTCTGAACCCGCGAACCTATATAATTAAACGGGTTATGTGGGTTGGATTGGGTTGATGTTTCTACTCGTAACCCGAATACATATATGAGTTGGGTTGGTTGATATACTCTGACCCGCAACCCATGACCCACAAACCCAAACCCAAACCAGATCGATTTGTCATTTAGATTTGAGTATAAAAATGTAATAAGAAAAATATGACAAAATTGCAAAAATGGTCCCTGTGGTATGCATTTTTTGGGGGTTTTAGTCCAAACCCCGACTTTTTTGGATTAGTGGTCCTTTTGAGCTAGTTTCGTTGTGGATTTGGTCCCTCAGTAAACTGAAATGACTTAAATACCCTTGGGGTATTTATTTTCTATTTTTAAAATCAGTTTTTAAATGTTTAATAACTATTTATTCATTTTAATAATTAAAAATTAAGAGGACCCACTCTCTCTCTCTCTCTCTCTCTCTCTCTCTCTCCACACCAAATAGAACCCATCCAAGATCGAGGCGGTAGCTATAGGTCCGTGAACCTTGCTAACACTGTGTTCTTCTTGCCTACTTTCGATACCAGAAGGGAGCAAAGCAAGATTGTAGGTTGTTGAATCACTTGGGCGCATAGTTATTGGGTTTATAAAGGTGGGGGTTGAAGGTGATCATGAACACAAATGGAAGAACACAAAATGAACCCGGAAAAAAATCTATCAAAACCCACATCCCCATCTTCAAACCTCAGGCACCATAATACTTTTCTGCGTTCATCTTCTTCAACATACACATAAATACAGACTTTCTGATCCAACATACACACACACACACAAAATGCAGCCATGGCGTGTTCGATCCCCTTTCTCAGGTTTCGATTCCAAACCTGTAGATATGAGCCTCTCATGATATCGTGTTCTCGATTCACCTTCGATTTTAGCTCTGATTCTCGTGACCCAATCGAGTTATGGGATGATTAACTTCGATTTTATTCAGTGCCATCCTTTATTTCTTTGATTCCATTAACCCTAAACCTATAAATGGTATGAAAACACACATACGAAATCGAATTTTCAGAAATCGGTTGTTCTTGAAGACCCATAATCTTTTTTCAGATTCAGACATTGATTTTTAGTTCCAAAACCAAACCCAAAATTTTGATTGTTCTTGAAGAGCAAACCCAGAAAATCGACTGTTCATCTTCATATAGCTTTCCACATTACCTGTTAATTGATTTCCAAAAAAGAACAATTGATCCTACCCAAGAATGTGAACCCGTTTAAATTGATTTTCAAAAAGAAAAACAAATCCAAATTGAGGCGTAAAGATGCAGAGAAAAGACGATGTATAACAATGGATTTTGGGGTAGAAACTATGCTCCTCTTGTTCGTGATGCAAAGAGAGAGAGAGAGAGAGAGAGAGAGAGAGAGAGAGAGAGAGAGAGAGAGAGAGAGAGAGAGAGAGCCCTTTTTATTTTTTTTAATTATTAAAATAAATAAATTAATATTTTATTTAAAAAAGAAATGAAACAAATGGAAAATAAATACCCTAAGGGTATTACAGTCATTTTACTATCCAGAGGGACCAAAAACGCAAAGTCAGGGTTTGGACTAAAACCCAAAAAATGCATACCACAGGGACCAAATTTGCAGTTTTCTCGAAAAATATCTTGTTGTATATAAAGAAAAAAAATAATAAACTTTACAATTAATTGCAAGGACAGAAGGCCCCACAAACGCCTTCAAGTCAAACGAACCTCACAGTCAGCTGAACAAACTACACCAATCTTGATTCACATTTCACAATCGGCGAAGTAAATCATAAATGTTTGATTGATTTATCCTTCACGCTTTCCTTGGATTCCAATCCAATCAACATGGCGGATACTTTCTCAGATTCAATTGATGCATCGGCCCACGCCTTCAAGCTCATCCTCCAGGGCTTCGCATTGATACCAATAATCCATTATGAAATAGCTTTTGTGTGTTTCCTCATAGTTTTCATCTACAATTTCTTAGAGTTCCATTTCTTTCATGATGTTCTCACTCTGTTTCGAGGGTCTCCGGTGTCCCTAACATATAATTCGGCTTCTGAGATTTACCACGGTGTGGCTTCAAAGTGTCGCCTTCTTCATGGCAGGTTCATTTTTTTTTTCTCTCCCATTTTATTCATGTTTCCCCCTATTTCTAGTGAACTGAGATTCCAAGAAATTTCGTATCCGTTTTTTGAATAAAAGAACAATTACGTGCTGTGTTTTGTGCATGCTTTGTTTTCCACAAGGAAAAAATGTCAATCTGTAAGCGGCAATGCAATTAGCGTGTAAGAAGACAACTGGCGGGTATAAAGCTGTAAATTAAGTCACAAACGGGAACAACAGCACACGATTGATTATATTTACTGATTGGGTTCTGTAAAGAGTAACATAAATTCCATGTTCATTCCTTCAATCCTTCTAATAACACATCTAAATGCTCATGTCTTTGAAGTAGAAATTTGGATGATTATCACATAGTACCTACAAATAAAACATAAACTTCAGAGGAATTTTTTATATTGCAGAATAATTTCTAGGAATACAGTAGGTCCTTACCTTCATTTGTACAGCCATAATCTTCAATGTTCAAATTATGACTAAAGTTAACTGCCTAAGCTAGCGAATGATTGACAGAATCCTTGATGTCACAGTATATAAATATATATATATATATATATATATATATATATATATATATATATATATATATATATTAGAAAAGAAATAAAATAAAAAAGGAAAATAAAATTCTAAAATACAAAGTAATATTTGTTCCTCATGAAATTCTATGTCATGAGAAGTTTGATCATGACTTAGGCATCTTTGGGATCCTAAAACTACTCATTTAAGCATCTTGTTGTATTAAGTCAAAAGATTTACTCGTTTAACGATTCTTAACCTTATATAAGTGAGGGACTTATGTTGTTTTGTGCTGATTGCTTCATTAATAAGGTACATGGCTACACCTTGGCTTTCAAGTCCTCACATTCAAACAACTTTTCTGAATTTCCATGGAAGACCTCCTGCAGTAAATTATAGAAGGTATGTCTTCTTGGTCAGGTTTTGCCAGATAGACCTAACTAATTGAAAAAGATGCTTAGTGAAAAGTACTTTTTGACAAGTGTTCACATGAAACACCTGAATAACTTGAATTTACCATTTTAACCCTTTGAACTATTTGAAACAAAGTTATGTTTGATAAAACTAAGTTATATAATAGCACGGAGCTTGTTATTGCCCTTTAATTAAGATCTAAGCCTTGAATTCCTGAATGTGGGCATATTATCTAGTAATTTTTGTTTGCGGTTGTTATCATCTGATATTTGTTGCACAATTTTTGACAGTGATAATTAGGAGGATGAATATTTCTTTGAGTAACTAGGATTTATACTCGGTGGATGAAATGAAAAGCAAGAAGTTGTTCCAAATAGATAAAAAACAAAAAAGAAATTTAATTGAAAATAAACATCATACAAGTTTAGTACTGGAAAGGATAATTACTAATTTGTGTTTTATTTAATTACAGAAAAATTAAAATATTTTTTGGTCAAACTAAACATGAAAGTACAAGTAGTACTGCAGTAGGTACAAGTAATAAAAAAATTGAATAGATGATGGTAGTGGGGTAAATAATTTTTTGTCGGGTATTGAAATTACTTTTTTTATTATATCAACAAGCTTATCATAATATGTAGTGACAGAACTTTTGGCTACTTTCATCCAGTTACCAAAGTGTTAAATGCAATAAATAGCAATGTACTTTCATCTATTTGCTTATTATCACATCCTACTTTTATTTTTTCCTATTACAAAGTTGTACTTTGAAAATTTACTCATTTGTAGCAATGTCATTGAAGGACAACACAACCTTTTACTGCTATAATTGGGTAAAATTTTCAAAATATAATGTACTAATAAGAAAAAAAAAATTGCAAGTACAGTGTTATACTTAGGTAGGTTTCAGAGTACAATTCCTAAAAAAGAAAAAATTTGAAAGTCCAATGCTGCCAGAAAGAGAAATGAAAGTAAAACGCTATAATAATAATAATAATAATAATAATAAAATTAATATATGTTTCTATTTCTTGCGTTTAGCCCATTACCAAATTTAACATTAAAGTGACTGTTCTATCACTTTTATTGACCTCATCAGAAATGGATTCTATGTGTTTTGGAACAGAATTCAATTTTTTTTATATTTTGGTTATTCTTATAATGTTTTTCTACTCTTTCAGAAAATTATTCCATGCATCTGATGGTGGAACTTTTGCTCTGGATTGGCTAAAGAGTTCAGATGGTAATTTACATACAACATTTCTTCTGTACCTGATCAGAAAATATCATCAGTTAATAATACATGCCAAGATTTTAATATTATCTTGTAAATCTTCTTGTGATTTAGTATGATGCAACTCATAGACCATTCAAGAAGTTACAAAAAAGTCTATAAAGGGTAATTTGAGAAGTTCATTTTCAAATATGTAAACTATAATTCATAATCAAATATGCATAAAGTGTGTCTATCATGTTGTTGCTAATTTTTATCTCATTATATACTAAACATACATGCTCATTAGTATCTCTAGCCTCTAAGATACAGGTTTTTAGCCTGAAGTTCAGCTTCTATGTCCTAATCTTGGGAAACAAAATATTCATAAACATTGATGATAAAAAGATATGAGAAACTAAATATCCTCCTACCTTTTGTTCCTACCCATCTTACTACTGATCGGATCAAGACAAGTGTCAAAATCAAGAGAGGGGATTAAGAGAGAGAATTAGTGGATTCCGCATGTCATTATTTTATGAGTAGGAACAAAAGGTAGAAGGACATTTAGAGTGCGTTTGGTTGTGGGAAATTTTCCCGTTTTCTAGAAAAAATTTCCAAGAAAAACGGAAATTTTGAAAACGCGTTTGGTTCGTTCCTTTTTCCAAAGTTTTCTAAGAAAATGAAAATTTTCAGTTTTCAAATTGTATGTAAATTAGAAAAGTGATTTTTACAGTTTTCCAAAGTTTTCCAAATTTCTAAGATGCAAAATGAAAACTCCACCCGTTCCAACCAAACGCGTTTTCATTGAAAATTGAAAATGAAAACTCAACCCTATTTTCTAAAAACATTTTCATAGAAAATGAAAACAATTTTCCACAACCAAACGCACCCTTAATTTCTCAAAATATATGTTCTGCACATTTTGAGTTATTGATGAAATCATATAGCTAATATCTTTGAAAGTTTTATTATTACTGTTTTCCTAGGATGTAGTGGTTATTTAGTTGTAGAATACATCTTGCTTCCAATGTAGTTGGTATGATGTTTGCTATTAAAAATTGGGTTAAATGCAAGAAATAGCAATGTACTTCAGTTGATGTTATAGCAACCTGTTTTCAACATTGTACTATAAAAAATCTGCCCAATTATAGCAATGCCATCCAAATGCAATGCATACAAGAGAAATTGTAATGCAATAATTGGGTAAAATTTTCCAAGTCCAGTGTCTTACTAAGAAAAAAAATGCTTTAATAGAAAGAAATGAAAAAGAGGTTGTTATATAATACATGAATATGTGAAAGCACATTGCTATTTGTTGCATTTAGCCCTTTAGAATCTTTGTAGGAGGAATTATCATTAGTCTTGATTCTAAAAAAATGTATTACATGATGAGAAGCTTGTAAATGGAGTTGCAAAACATGCATGCAATGTGGTTTGAATTTTGTATAACTTTGCAGTTTTAGGAGATTCAACATGTGAAGAAAGTGCTGCTTTGAGGCATGATAAAACTCCCATCTTAATTGTAATTCCTGGATTAACTAGTGATTCTTCTTCAGCTGTAAGTCCAAATTTCTTGCCAGCAAAACTTGTTCATTATTACTGAACCTGCTTTTTTTTTTTTTTTTTTTTTTTTCTTTTGGACACTTTATATTGCATTGCAAATGCCATTTGGACAGCCCATTGTTGTGCTAAATGTTAGTTAAATTGAAGAAATAGCAATGTACTTTCATTAATCTGTTTATTATAACACCCTACTTTCATTTTTTCTTATAAAAACCTTATACTTTGAAAAATCTACACAATTAGAGCAATGGCATTAAAAGTATTACATACGTCCTAATAAGAAATAAAGTGGAATTATAATGCTATGATTGGGCATATATTATCCGTAGTAAATCTCTCAGTAAGAAAAAAATGGAAGTACAATGATGTAATTAAAAAAAATGAAAGTAGGATGCTATTATACTCGCATAAGTAAAAGTATGTTGCTATATCATGCATTAGCTCTAGTTTTAGCAATATACCAGTCTATCCATACCTTATAAAAATTAGATGGTGGAAATTGGAAAAAATATACATGTACTTGGAATAGCAATGTACTCTTACTTATTTGTTTATATAGCATCCTACTTTTCAGGAGCAATGTGTAATATTATTCACTACTATTCCAGAAATGTAATAAATTGTGCAAGCAAAGCATTCTAAGAAAATAAATTTAAATTGTATTTATGTTTTATATTGTCCTCCCTCACATAATATATATATATATATATATATATATATATATGTATATATATATATATATATATATATAAATATTGAGAACATATGATGATGAATTGTTGAAAACATGTGGTTTTAGTACATCAAGCATCTTGCTTACTCCACTGCTGAACGAGGGTGGGATGTTGTTGTTTGCAATCACCGTGGACTTGGAGGAATTTCTGTTACGGTCAGTACTTTATTATAATTAGATTAATAAAATTGAAAAAGAAGTATTAACTAAATTCAGTCTAAAACCTATAGATAGATAGATTGATTAATATACCAATTTTTTAGAATGTTACTTTATCAAACGCTTTGAGATCATCAAGTTGGTATCATTTTGTGTTCTGTTGTGGCTTTATGTATCCTGTCATATTGTTACATTGCTTTGTATAACATAACATTTTATAAGCTTATGTACCCTCTGTTGTAATATTTTGTTTATATATCATATATGCAGTCTGATTGCTTCTATAATGCGGGGTGGACAAAAGACACACGAGATGTCATCAACGATCTTCATCGTGAATATCCCAATGCTCCTCTTTTTGTAGTTGGAACTAGCATTGGTGCCAACATCCTGGTACCTTTATTCTTGCATTATTTTATATTTTATATTTTCTTTCCTAATCATTATTGTTATGTCCCTATGTTACAAGCTATATAACACATACCAGCTGGATGTGATCAACTAACTATTCTCTATTCTTTAAGTCCATGCTTCAACTTTGTTTTGTTGTTGAAACTGAAAGATTACTCAAAATTAATTTACAATGCTACCTTATATACTGAAATATGAATAACTATAAGCAAGTATCTAACTAAAGACTAGAGGACTTTGTTACTTGTTAGGGTGACTTTTCATTTTATGTTATGGATATAAATGGGTTGCAATTAGGAGTCTACTGGTGTACACATCATCTAGACTAAAGATTGGCTGGTTGATGGATATATATGGATGGGTTAGTTTTTTTGTGTTTTGTTGACCAAGACTTTGTTTATGATGAGTTAGTTAATTATGCATCAGGTGAAGTATCTTGGAGAAGATGGGGAGGATGTTCCTATAGCTGGTGCAGTTGCTATATGCTCTCCTTGGGACCTTTTGGTTAGTGCTCTGCTGTGCTCTATTATTCATCATAAATTGTATTTCAACATTGCAAATTAATACACGTAGGTCACTGTTTCTTGCATTTAACCCTTATATCTATCACAATTTGAAAGCAACTGTTTATTTACATATATCTTCTGTTGGCTGGCAGATTGGGTCGAAATTCATATGCCGCAGGACTGTTCAAAAGTTCTATGATAGGGCTCTTACTGTTGGCCTTCAAGAATATGCACAACTGTATGTACTACTCATTTGCTCTCTTAAACAAAACAGACAGTATACTATACTATACAGTGTTTTGCAAATATATTGTTTTTTTGATGAAAAAACTTTCTGATTTAAATCGTGTGGGGAAGTGGGATCGGGTTTACCAAAGGCGCAAAAAGAAAACTACAGGGGGTGTTTAGTATATTTTATTATTTATCTAGTTTATTACGATTTGGAGTCTAAGTAGGAGTTTCCTTTTATCGTTTGTTCTTTAAACATTAAGTTACAAGTATTTGTGTTTGCCAATTTGGTTCTATCACTTTCATGTTAATTTTAGTTTCTGATTGCAGGCATCAAACTCTTTATTCTCGCCTTGCAGATTGGGATGGTATTGTAAAGGTACATAGCCTCTATATCTTTATCTTTTTAACTTTTGGTTATTTGGAATATTAACGGAGTATTTAATACATAGTGATAATTTTGTCTTTTTTCTAGTCACGTAGTATACGGGATTTTGACAATTATGCTACTCGCCTAGTTGGCAAGTTTGAGGTAAGCAAACATATTAATAGTTAATGTTCTTGCATAATAACTGCTAGTTAGTGATGGGTTTTTTTTTTTTTTTTTGTTGTTGTTGTTAAAGAGTGTGGATGCATACTATAGGCATTGCAGCAGTGCACAATATGTGACAAAAGTTGCAATTCCATTACTATGTATAAGTGCTTTAGATGATCCGGTCTGTACCTGGGAGGCAATCCCATGGGATGAGTGCAGGTATGCTCTACTATGCTCCCTCATTTCATCCTCTTTGGTCTCATCTGATCTCCTCATCATCTTTTAATTTATGTTTATCAGAGCAAATAAAAATATTGTGCTGGCTGTAACACGTCATGGAGGACATCTTGCCTTCTTTGAGGGTCTTACTGCATCTACTTTATGGTATGCTCTTAATTCTTATTTCAAGTTTCATTCTCAAATCTTGACCTTATTTAATTTACAATGTTAATTTGTTTTTCTTGTTGCTTCGATTTCCATAAGGTGGGTGAGAGCTGTGAATGAATTCTTTGGTGTTCTTCACTGCAGCCCCTTCATGCATACACAAAAGAAGGTAAAAAATTTAAAATAAAACTAGATATTCCTCTTTAGTGGTAATTTTATGTTATTGGGATTTATATAGTGTAAAATTTTTTGTAATATATTATATATATTCTGTGACAGAATCCTCCACATATTGGACCAGAATCTTCTGTGGATCAAGGCCCATATGTGAATGTTTCAAATGGAATGGTTGCTGCAATCACCAAAGATCCATCATCATCTACTGATAATGTGAAACTAAATGATCAAGATCCATTTGAAAGACAGAAAGTCAACGATGAAAGTGATGCTGCTGTACGTGTACCAGATGCAAAAAATATAGTATCCCGTTCGAGTGGTCAAACATCGGTCAAAGTAGCTGATTTGAATAGCATCAAAAAATGGTTGGAGCAGCTGTTCCAACAAAACAAAAGATCAACATGGATGCTTACATACATTGCTGTCATATCAACATTGCCATTCATGGGTGCCACTCTTTACATGCTCTTTAGAAAGAAACTCAAGCAGCCAAAATCGCTTAAGTAATATGTTAAAATAAATTTGTACAACTTGTAGCTCAGGGGGCCTTGTAGAGTTTTATAAATAAATTTGTAATAATAGCCAGCCTTAGCTAATTCGATATGAGAATACAGAAATCTGATCCAAAAAATTATGAAATTTTGGATATCAGAAAATTCAGCTATCTAAAACTTAGATATCCGCAATTTTGGAAACGGATTTGAGATAGTGATTTTTCAAAAATTTCTGATACTCGTATAAACCAAAAAATCCAAAATTCTTCTTTATATTTTGCTAATGTTTTATGTAATATTATCCTTTGTAATTGCAATTCCTTGTATATTTGGTTTTAACATTTGGCGACACTGACACTTAATTGAGGTATATTTTCGATGCTTCCTTCTTTATACGTGTTTGATACCTTTGTCTAAATCCGTTGGCTTATGTAGAGTATCTATAATTTTAAGTAAGATACTATGTTGATAAACCAAATATACAATTCTATTATGTGGATGAGGAAACATTGTAGAACTTTTTGATGAAATTTTAGTATTCTATATACATATAAAAAGTTTTGAGGTTCGATTTTGTATCCAATTTTTAGATGCGGATCCAATTATCAGTCTTAGAAACTCTCAGAGTATCCAAAATTTTGGATAACCGATTTTGTAAGGTCTTGTTAGAACTTTATTATTGGAAAAGAATTATGTGATAGGAAGAAGATGAAACTTAAGCTTGTCTTATAAAGTGTCATCCCTAACAAACGAACACAATAATGAGTTAGACTCTTTGGGGCTAATTTTTTTGGCTTTATAAGTAAATTTAAAGTTTCAATGTTGTTAGAAAGCGTAATTAGGTTAAATCAAGATTTTAGTATCAGTGGACTATATTTGCCAAGTTTGGGAAACTTGTGCATAGCTCGGACTTAACTTGTGAAACTATGTTTGAGGATTAACTTGTAATAAATTAATATGTAATAGTTAAGTTAGAGCTTCTATGTTGGAAATATTGGTAAATGACTTTCTGGGAAAAATTATGACAGACGAGACTAAAATCTGTCAATTTGATGAAACTTGGGTTCAACATTGTCTTGACTTCATGGGCGGATCCACCGTGGAGCCCGGGATGCCCCTTAAAAAATTTCAGGAGTATAGTTGCAGTAATCGAGCTTGAAGTGTCTTTTTCCTCACTAAAACCCTAGCCGACTTCACTCATTTTTCAGTCTTTTTCTCTTGGGTTTGGTAGCTAAGAGAGAGGGAGAAGCGATTCAAATGGTCCAAGGGAAGGTTACTAAGGGTAAGGGTTAAGAGGCTTTCCCAGATTCGGGTTCCTGCTAGCCTAAATCGAGAAAAGGTCTTCGGCGTACACTGCGATGCTGCGATAAAGAAGATGCTCCATATTTTGGCTTTTGACACAAATGGTCCCTCGTGTTTGGCGTATAACCTAAATCTACCCTAAATTTGACTTATTTTAACTAAAACAGTTTTTGGAAAGTTACCATTCACCCCGTTGACATATATATTATGTTTTTCTAAAAAAATAATGATTTATTTTTATTATTACTATCGATATTACTTTTATTGTTGTTGTTGTTGTTGTTTGTTGTTGTTGTTGTTGTTGTTGTTGTTATTATTATTATTATTATTATTTTCTTTTAAAAAAATTACTTATCGGAATCGAAACGGATGTTACAGATATCTATTATTACTCTTTACTCCATGATAATAAAATTTTCAACTTGAAGGGAATTGTGGATCTCTTGCGTTTGGTGGAAACCGGAAAACACCTCTCTTTTCCTTTGGTTTATAGATTATTAGAACTGACTTTGGTTTTGGCCGTCGCAACCACAAACATTGAAGTTGAACTTTATGTCTAATAAAATTACGGTTTTTATTTTTTTCTTATTTTATATTACGTGGTTTTTTTGGATATCACTTTACTTTGAGCATGGCTCCGTCACTGCTTGAATTAGCTGGGTCTAAGAATGTTAAGAAACTTATTCCTATTGTATTCCTTGTAATAATCATAACTTTTTGGGTTAAATAAAGTTAGTTAAACAGACGAGTAAGAAACTTAAAACATGATAGACAAAACTGTGATGAAACTTGGGTTTGACCTTGTCTTTGACTTAGTTGGGATCAATAATGTTAAGAATCTAATTCCTCATATATTCCTTGTAATAATACTATAACTTTTTGGGTTAAATATACTAGTAAGAAACTTAAAACTTATAGTGTCAATAGAGAAAAGATTGAAAATCAAAGCCTTGACTCTACCCTTTCCCTCTTATGAATGGTTTTGGGAAGACATTGGAAATCTTGATGGTTTTGGGAAGGTATGTCTTCTTGAGACACAATAATATAAAGTCGTTTCTTCTCCTTCATCTAAACTTGACCTAGGGTTTGGGGATTTCTCGTTACGGCTTGTTCCCGAGTTTTTTTGCAAATTCATTAAAGGAAAGGGAAGGAAAATTTGATAGAAATAAAGGGAGGTGAAGGAAAATATTCATTATTCCGTGTTCCCGGGTTCGAAGGAAATGAAAGGAAAATTTTAAGTTTTGTGTTCCCGAGTTAGGAGGAAAAAGAAAATAAAACTTAAAATTTTTCTTCCCCTTACTTTCTTCCCAAATCCGCCCAAATTGGGAGGAAAATATGGCTCCAAAATCCTTCCCCTCCCCTCACTTTCCTTCCATTAATGAAACTCGGGAACACGGTTTTCCTTCGACACCCCTCATTTTCCCTCCGTATCCTCCCATTTCTTTCCTTAAGTAGAACTCGGGAACAAGGCGTAAATTAGAAGTTTTTGTTTATTATGAGCATATGAAGTAGTTTCTAACTTTGTTTCTTTCATCTAATCATTGGTGTAAGATCAAATCATTCATTCATTGCTTGATTTTGAGCCTGAATGTTTTTTTGTAGTTTTCAAACTCTAATAATTAGCGTTGTGACAAAAAAACCAAAATCGAATAACCGAACAAAACCAAATGATGTTTGGTTTATTTGGTTCGGGTTATTCGGTTTTCGGTTAATTTGGTTTGGTTAACCGAATAAGTATATCTTATTTGGTTTGGTTTTGATTAAATTTTTATTATTTTGGTTAATTCGAAAAAAACAAAAAAGCTATTTGATTAATATAATTTTTTATAGTTTATATCTATAAATTAATATTTTATATTTAAATTTATAGATTAGTTACTAAAAAAGATTTTCATAATTCATTATTTAATTATTAACCATTATAAAATTATAATTGTTTCTATTTTGTATTAAAAAACAATAACCAATTTGCCAAATGTCAATTAACAAACATTTACAATTGTGTGTGGCTACAACTACACTTTAAGAAAACACAACATGAAAGACATAATATAATATGTTATGTATTAGTAGGTTTTTTTAGTTTAATATTTATTTTACATGCAGAATTTTATACGGTTTAACCGATAAACCAAACCATATAAACCGTAGTTGAATAACCGAAACCGATTAAACCGAACCTTATTAAGTTTGGTTATGGTTAGTTTTAAGATATAAAAAAACCGAACCGATTAAACCGAAAACCAGAAAAACCGACCAAATAATGCCCCTACTAATAATGGTAAAATCGATTTTGCGCTAGTATGTATGTTTGAGATGTGATTCAACCTTGTTTTAAGTTCCTAAACTTCATCTGAAACAAATGAATTCACTACATTTTGATAATTGCAGATAATGATCAAATGAGGATTTAAGTTATCCCATAACATCAAATAGAGTTTGAATGGTTATTATGACATGATCTAGATTTGGAGTTGTGCAAACAAGTAATGTCATTAATCTAACTCACAGTGTCCATTGGATGCAAGTTTAGTGATGATTCAATGATGATTTTTAACACAATTACAATTGGGATGTTCAAGACTTCAAGCGGTTAATATCAAACATAATCTGATTTTTGAAGTTATAAACCTTTGAATCGTCATGTAATTCTTGACCTATGTGTAATTGATGTTTTCTAATGAATCTGGAAGTGTATTTACTTGTTAGTACTTAGTATACTTCAAAGTCAATAGAAGTAGAATGGAGGGGGTTGCAGTTGATTTGGATGTTTGGGTAACTTTTTGGCAAAACAAATTCCAAGTTATACAAAGTTTTATTCTGAGTCAACACTTTTGCTTTTAAAGACTCAAGTGAAGTCATTTCTAATGAAAATAAACGTTTAAAACTTTATATCACCTTAATAGACTTATGTTGGTCAGTTGGTGTTAGTGATAGCAATAATCGACTTTATATCATTTGTACACACTTATGCCAGGTTCACTAAGAATCACATTAACCATTGCAACATAGATCCTACCCACCAACAACTCCTTCACCTACAATCGAAATAGGAAATGTGTAAAACTATGTCTTTATCCCTCTTTGTTGTGTTTTTTAGATATAATGATGCTAATCTTGATTCTTGGAAACACAGGAAAGCAACCGCATCCATGCCCTTCAGTCTAGTAGGACACAATCTTCAACAAGCATCTTTACAAGATTTCCAAAGCTCTACATAAAAACCCCCTTGTTAATTAGCCAAATCCTTTTTACTTAATGTTCTCTTTGAGGTCAAACCCATCATATTTTCGGTTACATTTGTAGCGGTTGACAACAATGTGGAGTCAAAATCTGCAAAAACCAGAGTAAACCAAAAGAGCTACGACATCACATAAAACACACGAGAATAAATTTCAAGGTACCTTATGGAACACCTACATGAGGAATCAAAACCATGGATTTCATTTGGACATGTAAAAAGAAACAAATCTGCAGACAAACACCTTTCATGCTATCACCAATCAGCATGCTAAATGTATCTTTCTCTGGTTTCACTCCATCCAAGATCATATGATCATATACATTCCTCAACAGATAAATCCTATTAATAAACATCTTTATTAGACTCATCAATTGTGAAATATGTAAAATTCTGTTGTTGTGCTAATTTTAATGTTTGTATGAATTTGTGAAAAGCAAGAAGAAAAAACTGAAAATGGAAGTACACTAAAACTAGTTTTCTTTATTAAAAACGAATGAGGTGCACCTGTTTGTTTGAAGAAGCAAAACTGACAGTAGAGAATGGCCTAATTTCACGCCAGAAGTCCGTGTTTTCTCTCAAGTTCTTGCAGATGGGGAGAGAAGCGGTGGGTTCTGTGCCTTACTCATCGGCGGCGACATATGATGAGAGAACAGGAAACTCGATGTCTGATGACGGCAGCGTGAGGAAGGACATCGGCGGCGACGTCAGCTGCCCGGAAAGATGTAAGCAGGCGGAAGATGAAGGACGGGCATGGGCGGCGAGAGAGAAGACGCCAATCATGGCAACTGGTAAGGCTAGGACTTAGGAGCAAAACCCACCATGAAGTCTCTTGCGTCAGCCTGAGGCAAGAATGACCGGATGCAAGCAGGCAGGAGACGTCGCATGAGATAAGCATTAGTGGCTATGGGCGGCGGCGGGATTCCGATTGGGCGAGAAAAGCTGCCCATCGACGTGGCCTAAAGCTTTCAAGGCTTCCAATTAGAGTGACAGAAGGCCCCACTAAAGTCAAACAAACTCTCATAGTCGGCTGAACTACTACACCAATCTTGATTCACAGTCGGCGAAGTAGATCACAAATACTCCTTCTCTTCCCAGAATGGGTGATTGATTCATCCTTCACTCTCTCCTTGGATTCCATTCTAAATTTCCAATCCAATCAGTATGGCGGATACTTTCTCTGAATCAATCGCAGCATCGGCCCAGGCCTTCAAGCTCATCCTCCAGGGCTTCACATTGATACCTATAATCCATTATGAAATAGCTTTTGTGTGTTTCCTCATAATTTTCATCTACAATTTCTTAGAGTTTCATTTCTTTCATGATGTTCTCACTCTGTTCCAAGGTTCTCCGGTGTCTCTAACATACAATTCGGCCTCTGAGATTTACCACGGCGTCGCTTCAAAGTGTCGCCTTCTTCATGGCAGGTTCAATTTTTTATTTTTTATTTTTCAGATTCTTAATCTTATACGGTATATGTGAAGGACTTATGTTGTTTTGTGCTGATTGCTTCATTACTAAGGTACTTGGTTACACCTTGGCTCTCAAGTCCTCACGTTCAAACAACATTTCTACATTTCCATGGAAGACCTCCTGCAGTAAATTATAGAAGGTATGTCTTCTTGGTCTGGTTTTGCCAGATATAACTAACTGAATGAAAAAGATGCTTAGTGAAAAGTACTTTTTGATATGACACACCTAACATTAATTTACCATTTTAACCCTATGAACTTCTTGAAATAAAGTTATGTTTGATAAAAAAGTAAGTGATATAATAGAGTGGAGCTAAGTATTGCCCTTTATTAAGATCTAAGCCTTGAAATTCCTAAATGTGGGTATATTATCTAGTAGTTGTTGTTTGCAGTTGTTATTATCTGATATTTGTTGCACGATTTCTGACAGTGATAAGTAGTAGGATGAATATTTCTTTGAGTAACTAGGATTTATACTCAGGTGGATGAAATGAAAAGCGACAAGTTGTTCCAAATGGATAAAAAAGCAAAAAAGAAATTTAAATGAAAATGAAAACCATACATGTTTAGGATCTGGAAGGACAATTACTAAATTATATTCTATTTAATTACAAAAAGCTCAATATTTTTGGTCAAACTAAAAATGAAATGTACAAGTATTACTGCAGTAGGTACAAGTGATAAAACAAAGAAAATTGAACATATGATAGTAGTGGGCTGTATAATGTTGTCTGGTATTGAAGTTACTTGTTTTATTATATCAACAAGCTTATCATACGTAATATTTAGTGACAGAATTTTAGGCTGCTTGCATGATTGCTACCAATTACCAAAGTGTTAAATGCAATAAATAGCGATTCACTTTCATCTATTTGCTTATTATCACATATTCACATCCTACTACAGTGTTGTACTTTGAAATGGATTTTAGGTGTTTTGGAACAGAATTCAGTTTTTTACATTTTGGTTATTCTTATAATGTTTTTCACTTTTCTATTCTTTCAGAAAATTATTTCATGCATCTGATGGTGGAACTTTTGCTCTGGATTGGCTAAAGAGTTCAGATGGTAACACATACATTTTATAACATTTCTTCTGCACCTGATCAGAAAATATCCATGTCATTTATCAGTTAATAATAATACATGCCAAGATGTTAATATTATCTTGTAAATCTTCTTGTGATTTAGTATGATGCGACTTATAGACCATGCAAGAAGTTACAAAAAAGCCTATAAAGGGCAACTTAAGAAGTGCATATTCAAATATGTAAATTATAATTCATGATCAAATATGCATAAAGTACCTGTATGTTGTCGCTAATTTTTATCTCATTATAATACTAAACAGACAAGCTAATTAGTAGGTTTTAGATATAGGTTTTTTAGCCTGAAGTTCAGCTTCTATGTCCTAATCTAGGGAAACAAAATATTCATAAATATTGATGATAAAAACATATAATCTGCAGATTTGAATTCTTGCTGAAATCATTGCTAATATCTTTGACAAGTTTATTATTACTGTTTTGCTAGGATGTAATGGTTGTTTAGTTGTAGAATAAATCTTGCTTCCAGTAGACCTGGTATGGTGTTTGCTAAGTAGTTGTGTGAACTTATAGATTATGATGCTTGGTATGGTGTTTGCTATTTAAAATTGGGTTAAATGCAAGAAATATCAATGTACTTTAATTGATATTATAGCAACCTATTTTCATTTCTTTCTATTACAACCTTATTCTATAAAAACATCTACCCAGTTAAAGCAATGTCATCCAAATACAAAACAATTTTCAGTGCTATAATAAGCAAGACAACAGAAAATATAATGTAATAATTGGGTAAAAAGTTCAAAGTACAATGTCTTACTAAGAAAAAAAATGAAAGTATAATGCTTTTATAGAAAGAAATGAAAGTAGGTTGTGATAATACACAAATATGTGAACTGAATTACAAAACATGCATGCAGATTTTTATTTATTGTGGTCTGAATTTTATATAACTTTGCAGTGTTAGGAGGATCAACATGTGAAGATAATGCTGGTTTGAGGCATGATAAAACCCCCATCTTGATTGTAATTCCTGGATTAACTAGTGATTCCTCTGCAGCTGTAAGTTCAAACTCTTGCCAGAAAAATTTGGTCATGTTCATGGCTTAATTATTGCTGAATCTGCTTTGTTTCTTTTGGGCATTTCTTTTAGTGCAAATGCCATTTGGACAGTCCATTGTTGTTCTAATGTTAGTTTCAAGGGTTAAATGCAAGAAATAACAACACACTTTCATTGATTTGTTTATTATAACACCCTACTTTCATTTTTTTCTTATGAAAACCTTTTAATTTTGAAAATCCACCTAATTAATTAGAGCAATGACATCCAAACATCGAGGCATTAAAAGTAATATGTCCAAATAAGAAATTAATTGGAATTTTAATGCTATAATGAGTATATTATCCTTGGTAAATCTGTCAGTAAGAAAAAAATGGAAGTACAAGATACCAGACTATCCATACCTTACAAGATGGTGGAAAAAGATGTACATGTACTTACTTTTACTTATTTTTTTTTTATCATAGCATCCTACTTTTCAGGAGCAATGCATAACATTCCTCACTACTATTTCAAAAATTTAATAAATTGTGCAAGCATTCTAAGAAATAAAAATTTTAAATTGTATTTACGTTTTATATTGTCCTCCCTCCCTGATATTGAGAATATTGAGAGAATATGATGATGAAAACATTTGATTGTATTTGTAGTACATCAAGCATCTTGCTTACTCCACTGCTGAACGAGGATGGGATGTTGTTATTTGCAATCACCGCGGACTTGGAGGAGTTTCTGTTACGGTCAGTAGATTAATTAAACTGAAATACAACTCTTAACTAAATTCATTTTAGAACCTATAGATAGATAGATAGATAGATTGATCATTGTACCATTTTTTTTTTTTAATGTTAATTTATCAAACGCTTTGAGATGGTATGATTTTTTGTTTGCAGTCTGATTGCTTCTATAATGCGGGGTGGACAAAAGACACACGAGATGTCATCAACGATCTTCATCGTGAATATCCCAATGCTCCTCTTTTTGTAGTTGGAACTAGCATTGGTGCCAACATCCTGGTACCTTTATTCTTGCATTATTTTATATTTTATATTTTCTTTCCTAATCATTATTGTTATGTCCCTATGTTACAAGCTATATAACACATACCAGCTGGATGTGATCAACTAACTATTCTCTATTCTTTAAGTCCATGCTTCAACTTTGTTTTGTTGTTGAAACTGAAAGATTACTCAAAATTAATTTACAATGCTACCTTATATACTGAAATATGAATAACTATAAGCAAGTATCTAACTAAAGACTAGAGGACTTTGTTACTTGTTAGGGTGACTTTTCATTTTATGTTATGGATATAAATGGGTTGCAATTAGGAGTCTACTGGTGTACACATCATCTAGACTAAAGATTGGCTGGTTGATGGATATATATGGATGGGTTAGTTTTTTTGTGTTTTGTAATGTCTAGGTATTTTTTTTTATGCATTTTTATGATTTTTAGGGTTTTTTTGTTTTCCAAATAACCCTATATATATATATATATATATATATATATATATATATATATATATATATATATATATATATATATATATATATATATATTCTTTGTAAATGCAATTCAGTTGTAACAATTGATGACACTGACACTTAATGGAGGTATATATTTTCGATGGTTCCTTCTTTATACTTGGATGAAATCGATGTTGCTCAAAGGGATATATATGGAGTTTCTTGGATACCTTAGATGAGATCGATGACTAGATGCTTTCCATTTGAAGTTGACTCATAAGATAAGAAATAAGGTGTATCATTAATTTCTTCACTATATATTGACATATTATAATATATATATATTCTTGTTACAATTTCACCAACTTTTTGAGGCAGGCAGGCATGCAGGCATGCAGATTCTTCCATGTACTCGAGGCAAATTGTTATGATCCAAGGCATGCATCATGCTGACAAAAAGAGGTTGGCCAAGTTATATATATACAATTAAGGAGCATCTTTGCACTTGTGTTCCACCTTTCCCTAGCTAGGCATCATGCATGGCTGCTCAAAATTTAGAGACAATGATCGAGTACACAGTAATAGTTGAGCGTGTTCTAAGTAATTAACATTTAACAGTACTAGTATGGATTTAAGGTTTCGGTTTTAGGAAAAAGGGACTGCTGCGGATAAACAGTCGTTGCAGCAGCTAAAAATATGAAACAATAATAACCCTAACTTTTAATTATGCAGTAAGTACAAGCTTAGGATGCATAAACATGGAATCTAGTTATATGGAAAAAAATTAATGTTGCTAAAGGAATATACTGAATTTTTTGGATAACTTAGATGAGGTCGAATGACAGATGCTTTAATTCCATTTAAAGTTGAGTCATATATAACATAAGGATATTATGGTGCTTCATTTCTTCACTATCGACAAATTATATTCTTGTTAGAACATCACCAACTTTTGGGGCAGGCATGCAATATTATTCTTTTAATCAAAGGCAATTTGTCGTCGCCCATGACCAAAAGAAGTTGGCGAAGTTATATATATACAAGAAGCATCATTAGGTAAAACCTGATTCTCTATTTTATTTGTCAACAATATTTTGTTTATAGATACGGGACGATTAAAAGAGTAAACATTTGATTATATAGTTGTGTTTTCGTTTTCTTGGCCGGAATTCTAGCCCATGCTCTAAGTTTAAAGTTAGTAGGATAATTAAGTGGCTTAAAAAATCCTTCTGTAAGCTCTAAATTTGTGTATTTAATTGTGTGTTTTATTTATTTATAATAATAAAATAAAAAATAAAATTGCAATAGAGATGCTCGGAGAAATTTATGGGAGAAAAAGAAAGATACAAGGGTAGAGTGTGATGGCATCTTATACTTGGATAAGACAAATCCATCTTGAGGTTGGTCTATATGATTCCTCTTACCTTAATTTGGCATCAAAAGATCCTTTCTTGAAATACCCGAAGCATCACAGCTAGCTTTTCAAAGGCATGAACTTATTAATGTTAGGTTCAAACAATTCTAACTTATTCCCCTGGTCATAAGATCCTTTTTGTTCGTAATTTCCCATGGGTGATTCTTTTCCTTATTTGGCTATATAAACAAACGGCGATTCATAAACTCCCTCATTCACTTCAAACTCTTCCTACTGATCACACCTTGTATAGATATATGGAAGGCGTACAAGATGAGCAGCTGTTGAGTCTTGGGCTTGCAATCGTGATCGATTCTGGTAGTGGTCGTGAAAGAAAGGTGAAAAGAAAGAGAAGGGAAGGATTTAAACCTTTGGATACGAATGGAGTTTCTGAAGGAAATATCTATAGTCTTTTGGAAATGAGGGAAATCATGTTAAAGAAAGAAAACAAGACACCAGAAATAAGCACGGGCGAAGATGGAAAAGGACTCCGTTTGATCCACTTATTGCTCGTTGCCGCTACCTCCCTTGACGAGAATAACCTTGATTCCGCTGTCGATAATTTGAGTGAATTGTATCAAAACGTATCTTTGATAGGCGACTCGGTACAAAGGGTGGCGGCTTATTTTGCAGATGGATTGGTGGCAAGGCTTCTCACACGCCGATCACCTTTTCACTCAATGATAATGAAGGAACCAGCACCTGAAGATGAGTTCTTGGCATACATGGAACTCTACAAAGTATCCCCGTATTACCAGTTTGCTCATTTCACCGCAAACCAGGCGATCATGGAATCATTCGAAAGGGAAGAAAAAAATAACAACCGATCATTGCATGTTGTCGACCTCGATGTAGCGTATGGTTTCCAGTGGCCATCATTAATGCAATCATTGTCAGACAAGGCCACTTCAGGAAACCGTGTGTCTCTTCGAATAACAGGGTTTGGAAAAAGCTTGGAGGAACTCGAAGAGACCGAGGCAAGACTAGTCGGCTTTGCCAAAACCTTCAGGAATCTAATCTTTGAGTTCCATGGTATGCTGAGATCAAATTCTGGGCTGAAATCAATAACGAAGAGGAAGAACGAAACGGTGGTTGTAAACTCAGTCTTCTATTTAAATTCCTTGTGCAACTTCACACACATCTCAGAAACGTTAAAATCGATACACAGTCTAAACCCTTCCCTAGTTATTATGGTCGAGCAAGAAGGCGGCCGAAGCCCAAGAACCTTCCTATCAAGATTCATGGAGTTCTTGCATTACTACGCAGCCATGTTCGACTCACTGGATGATTTCCTTCCTCTGGATAGTCTCCAAAGGCTTCAGATCGAAAAGAACCATCTCGGCAAAGAGATCAAACGGCTAATGGATTTCGATAAGGACGAGGAAAATTCTCCAAAGTACGAGAGGATGGAAACCTGGAAAGGAAGGATGGAAAGTCATGGATTTTCAGGAAGGCGTCTAAGTTCCAAGTCGATAATTCAAGCAAAGCTCCTGTTGAAAATCAATAGCCATTACTGTCCCATTCAATTTGGTGGGGAAAATGGAGGGTTTACTTCGTTTGAAAGAGAAGAAGGCAATGTCATTTCTCTGGCTTGGCAAGACAAATGTTTAATCACAGCATCTGCATGGCAATGTGCAGGAGGAAGATGACGAACCATGACTCAACACGGAGTACTTTTGGTATAATTAGTAGCCTATAGTTTTGTAAATTATCTATAATAACATGTGTGGAGTGAGTATGTAATATACGTTTTCGACACCACGTTGATTATAAAAAAATATCTTAATTTTTATCATTCTGATGGCAATATAAATCTTATATGCTTCCATCAAAACAATATTTTTTGGCGCAACATTTGTGATTAGTTGCGGTATAGAATGCCATCATATGACTTGTATCCAAATTGAGTATCCAACTTCCAACGTCATCGATCTTATGAGTAGTTTTTTTTTTTCCTTTTTTTGTCATGTTATTTTTCCATTAACTTTATCAAACACAAACATTTTATGTCCTGTTTTATAAAATTAAATTAGTTTATTGTAATTAAATATTAGGTAAAACTACAAAAGAAAAAATAGTTTATTGTAACTCATAAAGTAACTTTTGATAAACTAGTTTGAGATAGCTTAAGCTAATTTATAAGCTAAAAACTAATTTTTTTTCTATAAGCTACTAGCTAGCGTCAAATATAGTCAATCCAGCTTAAACCCTCTCCGATCATTCATCATTTTAAAAAACTTAAACCCTCTCTGATTTTTGTATCTTTTATTCTATATTGATATATTTATATTGAATTTAATATTTATTATCATCTTTTTATTGTATTTGTATATATAATTTAAACTAGAATTGGTATTTAAGTATTGGATAATGCCTAATTAAGTAGAATTATTTCTAAAAGAATATTGTTTTTACAATGATAAATATGATTACGTGAGTATCATTGCAAAAGATGATCAATACTCGATATTTATAATATTGTATCGGTATGGATGGTGTAATGGATGCTCTAATGTGTTGTTCCTAAAAATTTAATAATAATAATAATAATAATAATAATAATAATAATAATAATAATAATAGATACTTTAATGAAAATATTGATTTCCTTTTGCAACAAGAATCTTTTTGTAACAAAATAGAGAGTTGGAGATGTTCGTAGAAACTTATGCATGGGAAAGAAAGATACAAGGGTAGAGTCAGATGTCATTCGATACTTAGAATAGACAAATCCATGGTGAGGTTGGCCTATTTGATTCCTCTGACTCCAATTTAGCATCTCAAAATCCTTTAATTGGAAAACCCGAAGCATCGCATCTAGCTTTTCTATTGTATGACTTAAACTAATATTAGGTTCAAAATTTCTAACTTATTTCTATGGTCATAACTCATACGATCCTATTTGCATTGTAACTTCCCATGGATTATTCTATTCCCTATTTTTTTGAACGGCAGCTCTTTGGCTTTATAAACCACAATCACAACATCTATTATTCACTTCAATTTCTTCCTTTCAATCGAAACTTACAGAGAGATGGAAGGGCTACAAGATCACGAGCAACTTTTAAGTCTTGGGCTTGCAATTGTGATTGATTCTAGTCGTGAAAGAAAGATGAAAAGAAAGAGGAGGGATAGATCTTTGTCTTTGGATACGAATGGAGTCTTAGAAGGAAAGATCTTTAGTCTTCTGGAAATTAGGGAAATCATGTTAAAAGAAAAAAAGATAGGAAAAGGGAACATTGGTGCAGATGGAGAAGGGCTTCATTTGATCCATTTATTGTTAACAGCCGCTACCTCCCTTGACGAGAATAAACTTGACTTGGCTATTGAGAATCTCAGGAAATTGTATCAAAATATATCTTTGAATGGCGACTCTGTGCAAAGGGTGGCAGCTTATTTTGCTGACGGATTGGTGGCAAAGCTTCTGACACGTCGATCACCTTTTCATGCAATGATAATGAAGGAACCAACACCCGAAGATGAATTCTTGGCATACATGGAACTTTACAAAGTATCCCCATATTACCAGTTTGCTCACTTCACAGTAAACCAATCAATCATGGATGCATTTGAAAAGGAAGATATTCAAAACAAACGAGCCTTGCATGTGGTCGACCTTGATGTAGCCTATGGTTTCCAGTGGTCATCATTAATGCAGTCGCTTTCAGACAAGGCCACAACTGGAAACCATGTGTCTCTTCGAATAACAGCATTTGGAAGAAGCTTGGAGGAACTCGAAGAGACAGAGAGAAGGCTAGTCGGCTTTGCCAAAACCTTCAGGAACCTCATTTTTGAGTTCCAAGGTATATTGAGATCAAATTCTTCTGGACTGAAATCAATAAGGAAGAGGAAGAGCGAGACGCTTGTCGTAAACTCGGTGTTTTATCTAAATTCCATGTGCAATTTCTCACACATATCCCAAACGTTAAAATCAATAAACATTCTAAACCCTTCACTCGTCGTTTTGGTTGAACAAGAGGGTGATCGCAACCCAAGAACCTTCCTATCCAGATTCATGGAGTTCTTGCATTACTACGCA